AATCTCCATACCCACCTGGCGCACCCTAGATCCCCCAGGCTCACCTTGTTTTTCAGCCCAGAAATCAGGAATCATTGAGAATTGATATCTTCTTTGAGAATTGATATCTTCTCATCTGATTTTGAACAGCAACCCCGTCGGTTTTATTCTCCTCCCCACTAATCTCACCAAGCTCGACCCCATGACACTCCCCCAATCGGGGGCAATGCATTTTTGGATGTTACCACCATACATTTTCATTTGATTTCTCCCTCTATTCCTCCCCCGCTTACCCCCCTCCTTCTTACAATTTGGGGAAAGTAAGTATTTACAAGGATTTGTATGTTCACCTTTGCTCTCCAATGAAGGCACAACCTCCTCATCGAAGTTCTCTCCGGCCAGCAACCAAAAGTGGTTGCCGGCCGGCAAGACCCCTATCCCCTTCCCAGGGATCGAGCGAGGCTGAGGAGGCGTAGCGAACGGCATGGGAAGCATGGCGATCTTCTCAGCACGAGCGGCATCTTCGTCTTCTTCTTCTTCATAGTAGGCTTCATCCCCTCCTTGGCTGGCTTTGGCTTGTGGCTCTCTAGATGTGCCTGGACCTCCCTCTACTCTGCTTGGATTGGAGCAGGAAGGCCCATCACCGCTCCGACCACGAATTCCGACGACCCCATCGGTGCGCGGCGGCGCGAGCGGTAGGCCTTCCACTTCATGGCCTGCCTGGGGTTGTCCGACGCTGCTTCCTCCATCGCCCATAGCAGCATCCTGAGCGCACCCACCGGCTCGCCTGACGGGGTAAGGCGTACATGCTCCACCTTGTGAGCTTCCTGTACGCCGCCCCCGCCGCTTCCTTCAGATCTCGCTCCTCCACAAACCAGGGGATTATCTCCATCAGCTTCTCCATCTTCTCTTCGTCTCCATCGGCTATCTCCCTCGCTCGTAGCTCAAGTCGCGTCCTCCGGGATGCCATGGATCGTCAGAGGGGCGGCGCTCACTTGTGGGAGAAGTGGGGAGTGGATTTCGTCGAGTGAGAGAATGGTCGTTCCGCACCGCGCCGCAACTTTAAGTTTTCGCCATTCCCGACGCTCCCCTCCTCCTTGACCTCAATTTGCATGACGCGACGCGCCTCCTCACCTGCTCCTAGCACCCTGTCCACTAGAGCAACGTGACAGGGGAAAATAACATGTGTACCCTCGCCTATCACCTCATCGTCGTGTACCCGCCTCGCGTCGACACGAGTATTGCTGCAAGCTGAGCTTAACCTAGTCATGATTGTGGTCCACTTTTCTAGTGCAAGCTGATGAGAAGCTCATGGTCTGCCATGACCCGAGGAGCTTCACTTTGAAGATTTTACCCAAAAATAATTTATACCTAATAATAAAGGGGCTACTGCTTTTCGCGGTACGTCACAAAAATTGCCCTCGAAGTTGCAAAATATTACCCACAAATGCCACCCATAAGTGATAAAAAAAGTGTTTCACACAGGGGGAATCCCCCCGCCTGGGCCGGCACAGGCGGAATTTTTTAATTTTTCGTTTCCTTTTTCATTTCATTTTTTCTACTTTAAGTAATTTGGGACTTCAAAACAATTTCAAAAATTAAAAAAAGAACTTTTAATTAAAATGTTTAATAAATCATAAAATGTTTGTGGATTCAACAAATGTTCACTATTTTATAAAATAAATGTTTGCTTATTCAAAAAAATGTTCGAAAAGAGATGTTCGGGAAATAAAAAAAGTTCATGATTTTTAAAAAAAATTGTGTTTTAAAAAAAATTGAACAAAATTTTGCCAATTCTTAAATGTTCATGAATGGAAAAATATACTGAAAATTCAAAAACTGTTTGTGACTTACAAAATAGTTTATTCATTCATAAAATATTCGCTGGTTCAAAAAATGATCATGCATTTAAAAAAATGTTCGTGAATTTCAAAAATTGTTCAACTGGTTTCCGTAAAAATGTTCTTCAATTCTAGAAATGTTCGCCGATTCCAGAAAATTCTTTAAAAAAACACTCACAACTTTTAAAAAATATTTGTAAATAGTATTAAATGTTCATGAATTCAGAAAATGTTCTTGATTTTAGAAAATGTTTAAATATTTGTAAAAGTGTTCATGAATTTGAAAAATCTTCATATTAAATATGATCATGATTTCACAAAATTGAGAGTGATAGTGTATCTCGGTGATGCAGTAAAATGTAATCATGGCCATTGGAGATCGCGATATTTTTTTTCTTCCGTACAACGCACGGGCCCTTTCGCTAGTAATCATAAAATAGCTCATTTGCATAATGTCTGGGGCTAGTGCGTCAGAGCATCTCCAACAGCCGCGCTAAACAAGCGTCGCGCCGCAAAAGTGGGCGTTTTAGCGCGCGCGCAACCCGGCGGGTGGCTCCAGCAGGCGCGCAAAAACAGCGCGCGTTGTATAAGGAGTTGGGCGCGCGGTCGGATACGCTATCTCGCGCGGTGTATTTGGGGCGCCCGGTTCCGCGTGTGGCACATTCGAGTGGCGTCGCACCGGCGCCGTCCCGTGCCGCCACCGCACCGTCGAAGCTCCCTATTGCGGCACAGCCGAAGAAGGGCAAAACATCCGCGAAGAAGAACAAGGCGGCGGATGGCTCCATCCGAAGGAAGAGCGGGCAATTACACCAACAAAGATGACATCTTACTATGCTATACTTGGTTGCAAGTGTCGAGGGATCCATCCGTTGGAGGTGATCAAAGTAGAGATGCTTATTGGGGGCGGATGAAAGAACACTTCGATGCTCACAACGTGAGTGGAATTGACCGCTCCGAGAGATCACTTCGGTCCCGATGGTCGACAATCAACTCGGATTGTCAAAATTGGGCGGCTGCACAAAAGTCGGTTGACAAGTTGAACCCAAGTGGCACAAATGAGGACGATAGAGTAAGTGGCATTTCATACATGTTCATCATACTTGTTTTTGGTGTCCGAAGTGCTAACTTGCTTTGTTTTCATGTAGTACAACATTGCACAAGACTTGTTCAAAGAAGAGGTGAGGACAACCAAGAAGGGGAAGATCAAGAGAGGAAGGATCTTTACATTACCTCATTGCTATGAAGTGTTGAAGGATGATGAGAAATGGAAGAAGCGTGATGGTTTGGATGATTTGCATTTGAGCAACAAATGCAAGCGAACAATTGAGTTGAATGGTGATGATGATGAGGAAGAGGATGATGCATCAAGTGATGACGGCAAGAGAAGCGCCACACCCAACTCGGTTTCATACTCGAAGCCAAACTGACCGGATGGGTGCAAGAAAGACAAAACCGAAAAGAAGAAGAGGAAAGGAGATGATGAGATCAAAAATGCTATGGAAGCTATTGTGAAGGCAAGAAAAGAAGCCAACGAGGTGAGGAAAATGGCAAAGAACCAAGATGCCGCGGCCGAGGAGAGGAGGTTGGCGGCCGAGGAGAGGAGGGTGGCCGCCGAGGAGAGGAAAGTGGCATTGGAGGAGAGGAAGGTGGGCATGGAGGAGCGAGCTAAGTTGTTGGAATGGGAGAAGCACTTGTTCTTCTTGGACACATCTTTGTTCAATGATGCGCAAAAGGAATATGTCAACCTTTCCCGTAAAGAAGTCTTGATCCAAAAAAGAGCCATGATCCGCGCAATGGGTGGCGGTGGCCTTGGCGGCATGGCTGGCGGTGGCCTCGGCGCCATGGGTGGCCGTGGCCTTGGCGCCATGGGAGGCATGGGTGGCTTCGGAGGTACCATGAGCGGTTTAGGAGCCATGGGAGGCATGGGTGCACCTCCGGCCGCCATGGGAGGCATGGGTGGCTTTGGAGCACCCTCCGACGCTATGGCCGCCATGGGAGGCATGAGTTTTGCTTTTCTCATGGGAGGCATGGGTGCACCTCCGGCCGCCATGGGTGGAATGTCTTTCGATGTGCCTCCTCACACACATTCCCATGAAGATGCCGTTGAAGATCTTGCCAACACCGTTGGAGCTTCACGTGATGCGGTGCGTGATGAGGTGAGGGAGGAAGATTCATCTTCGGAGGCGGAAGAATCGTCTTCGGAAGATGAGGACGAAGACGAGGAAGATGATTGATGTGTCTTTCATTTGTGTCTTGAGCTTTAGTTTGCATTTTGAACTTGGTTGGATGAACTTGTGGGCATGATTTTGAACTTGTGGGCATGAATTTTTATTCATCAACTTGTTTGTGTCAAATTTCACATGTTCATTGCATTTGATGAATGTTTCAAACTTATTTTGTGTCCAAAATGTCATATATGTGAAATGCCCGGCGAGTCGCGCGCGCTGCTGGAGCGGCGCGCGCTGTGCATTTTAGCGCGGCTATTGGAGCCAGCGCTGGCGGCCGCGCTAAACCAGCCGAAGCGCGCGCGGCAAATAGGGTTTTTGCGCGTGGCGCAAAGCGCGGCTGTTGGAGATGCTCTCAAGGGCGCCATGCCATTTTGTGATTTTTTTAATCCAGTTCATTTTTTGCTAAAGTCTTAAAATAGTGCCAAATTTATCTATTTTCACTATACATCCACCTTCATTCACGGTCACTCGTAATGGTCACTTGTCAGGGCCCCTCAAAACAGCAGTGCGCAAGACATTTGGCCACATCACATCTCGTTGGAAAAAATTGTAGTGCAGTGAGTTAGCCATCGACTTATCATGAACGCAACTGACACTGACATGAATACACTGTTATGAACATAACAATCCAAGGAAGTCTTCTAGACAGACAACGCAAATTAAACTAAGAATCACAAGCGTGCAGTTGCTCCTACCCAGCCATAAACAAACCAGAGTAGATCGAACGACCCAAAGCTGCACTGATTGCTGCTAGTCTTCCACATGTGCGTAGATTATTAATGCGCATCCGAACAAGAACAGTCACACCACAGTACCACACGGTCTTTGTCCCGGCTCGTAATCAGTCAGTAGCAACTGTTCCAAAATTCACATTCGTTCCCCGCCGTCATTATTCCGAACAAATTTACTTCTGTGCTTCAAAGTTTAAACGATACGATCCGACTCAGAAGATGTGGAGGATGTCCTGGATGAAGACGTTGCAGAGCGGGCAGTTGCCGCGGGTGTGCCGGAGCTCGCGGGAGCAGAGGCGGCAGAAGGTGTGGCCGCACGGGATGAAGGCCGCGCCCTTGTGCCGCGCCATGCACACGCAGCACACCTGCGCCTCCTCCTCCTCCTCGTCCTCCTCGCGCCGCTCGCCCTGGCCGTCCTCGTCGTTGTCCTCGACCGAGCCGCACCGGGACTCGCCGCCGTCCTCGCCCGTTTCGTCCCAGTGGCCGTCGGCCTGCTCCATCAGCGTTATCAGGGACGTCGACGCCGCGGCCGGCGGCGGTAAATCATTGTCCTCCGCCTCCTCTTCTACGTCGCTGCCGTCCTCATCGTCGACCACCGCGCGGAGCGATGGCGCGCGGGAGAACGTGGCGGACGCCTCACCGGACGTGTAGTTGCACTTGCTTCTGCTTCTCGGGACGGCACGGTTCGCCGCAGCGGTCTCCGACCCCGCTGCGTGCCACGCTCCCGCGGCGCGGCGGAGCCAGAGCCGGTGGCGCAGCGGCTTCCAGTTGATCGCACCACCAGCCCCGCCTTCGCCTCGAACGTCCCGGTCGATGGCGTCCATGAGCGTGCACGGCCTGTCCTCTGTGCCGCCGCCGCCGTCGTCGTCGTCGTCCGGGATCCTGAGGAAGTCGCGGATGGCCGGTTCGGCGGGCGTGGAGAGCTGCTCCTTGAGCGTCATGGCCCGCTGCAGCTCCGGCCGCCGGTCCATCGGCAGTTCTCGATCGCCGGCGCGGCGTCTCCTTGGCGTCGAGGGTGGTGACTGCGGTAGCCCGCGGCGGTGGTTGAGAACAGAGAGGCGGGTTGCGGTTGCGCGCGAGTGGGGAGGAAGGGAGCCGCCGTGGACTGGAGCGGGTCTCGCGGGGTTTTTAAACCCTGGAATGCAATTACCGAAAAGGCGCGCGGATGGGAGCTAAATTACGCTGGGTGCCACGCTAAGTCAGACTTACTACGGGCACTTGGCTTCCACCATGCTACTGTCCAGTGGAGTAATTTGGCCACTTGATGTAAAATTTGACAACGGAATCGCTGGAGGTCAAGAAAACAATTTCGAAATCTTGTACTTGCAAGTTTGCCCACTTTGTGATCTAAAAATTTTGACGACGGAACAGCCGGAGGTCAGGAAAACTATTTTGAAAATCGGTACGTACTTGCAGATTGCTGGTGAATGTGACGGTACGTTGCAGTACAGAAAACATAGCAGCGGATGCCGCTCGAACAGTGGGTTTTCAAAACTTGAAAGAAACAGAAGCACTTGAACAGTGCGCGCACGGCACGGACGTACGTGATGCGTGCAAGCAACGGAACCTGGTACGTACCACGGCAACAGGAGCGGACTCACTTTGATTACTGTCGCCCAGGCATGCATGCATGGAAGTTGGTGGCCATTACATGCGCCTCGATCGTAAACCCTTCTCGTCGCTTCGGTCTTGGGGTGGGAAAACGGACGGCTGGTCATAGTGGAGAGTAATTTAGACTAGTAACATGTATATGTTACTACTCCTTTCGTCTAGGTGAATAAGTCATTTTAGGTTGTGCATCATGATCAAGGAGGAGGGGAAAACAAGAAAACTTAATGTTCATTTGCTAATTAATAGCATTGCATGCAATGAACTAACCACTGCATGTCGTATTTGGTAGTCTCAAGTCATTAAAAACATGCACACCTTACTTCTCTTATTGGTTGATATGTCAAGAAATAAGAAACGAGGTAGAATTTAATGCACCGCGCCTAAGTGTTTTGGGATTATTTGGTTTTCGTAAGATGACTTACACATCTAGACGAAGGGAGTAGTCTATGTTACTACCTTCATAGTGGGTAGTATCATATATGTGGTAACATAGATGTCTTTATTTATTATTTTATAGACTCATTTTGCATTGGGAAACGCTATGTGATGGTAACATATTATGTTACTCTATTTGCCTCTCTCCTCATTAACTATTTGTCACCTCATCATTTTTGCTTATGTGGCATCTAAGTTACTACTACTACTTAGGCTGGTCACAATGGGGAGGAACTTAGGAGTAACATCACACACTTCAATACAACTTTGTTTATGTGGCACGTATTTAATGAAGAGAGAGGTGCTTGTGCTAACTAGCTAAGTTACCGGAACATCACACACTCCAAGAAACAATGAGTCTATAACCTAATAAATACATCGTTGCATGACACTACATAGATTCCTACCCACTATGGAGGTAGTAACATAGTTTAGGGAAGTGTGAAGTTACTAGCTTATGTTCTTGCCTATTGTGACCAGCCTTAGGCTGGTTGTAATGGTAGTATCATAGCTAGTATCATGCATTGCCAATTAGGCAATTTTGATGAGGTGTCGTAGCATTAAATGAAGAAAGAGAGGGTGTAGTATCATATCATGATGCCGTGTCATATTAAATGATATGCTACTTTGTGTCATACATAGCAATAAATAGAGTATTACATGATGCATTAGGGAGGTAGTATCATACACTAGTATCATATGCATGATACTAGTATATGATACTTCCCATTACAACCAGCCTTATGTTACTCCCACTATGACCAGCCTGAGCTTAGTTTCTTGCCACAAAATGGACTTGCACTGCCGGCATCTATTTCTGTGCACTGTCAACATGACGCTGTAGTTTACCTTGGTGTGCGATTCGCAGTTGCAGTAGACACTGAACATTGCTGAACCGAAGCCCTGCGCACCTAACCCTGTTTCGGCCTGCATGTGTAACACTAGCTAACGTACGTAGGTTGGCCGGGGTCCGCGACAGGAATCGAAGCCATTGATTGTATCTCTACTCCGCTTGTAGTGTAGCGAGCGTACGTACGCAGCCAGCCGTGTATTCGGTGACATGAAGGCTAGCTAATGAACCCCCTCCCCGTCGTACGTCCACGTCCGCTGCTTGCAACCACTTGGGCAGGTACGTCTGACCTATCCGCAGCATGGCCCGTCTGTCCAGCACTCTCTATGGCTACGCGCGTGGCGCGCACGCAGACAGCGGGAGGAAAACCAGGCGAGACGATGGGATGATGATCCGATGATGGCACCGTCTCAACTCCCGCGACGGATGGTACGTGGTGAAAGAACCTGAACCTGGAAGGCAAGGAAGGAAGCCGGGGGCCGCGCCGTAGGTGGTGCCATGGCAGTGGCGATGGCGATGGCGATGGCGATGGCGACGTCGATGATGCGCAGGGGGAGAAGCGTCTGGCACAGTCTTCTCCGCAGGCCCGGGAGCGACCGACCGCGACGCGCCCGTGCCCACCGTCGTCTCGTATCGTATCGTCGTCGTCTGGCCCGTGATCGAGGCGGAATCATCGGGTCGCCGGGGCCTGCGAATAATGCTCGGTTTTGGCGATTTCCTCCTCGCTCGCCTTGGCAGCCGGACCGGCCCCGGCCCCGGCCGGCCAGCCTGTGCCCTGTGGTCGATCGGTGTCACCTACGCTTACGTTCAGCTGTGGGGTTTACGGATTTTGTTGGTATATATATTGCCACGCTACGCCGGGCATCGATCGAGTTCCTGCACAAGGCGCTAACATATGTACCTAGGGATGAAACACGAGCGGAACTGGATGCTACCATTTTTTTTAACAAAAGCAGAAATGAATACAGAAATGCGGAAAATTAATAGATACTATTGAAAACAAACACATTGCGAATTCAACGCGGAAACGGCAACAGAAACAAGTGCTCAGAGCATCTACAGCCGGACGCCTCAAACCCGCCTCATACACCCGGACGGGCCGCCCGGTTACTGCCCGATCATGATTTTTCAACCTAGGCGGGCTCCTTAAACGGGCCTCAAACTCCCGGACTGGCTGACACTCCCCATATCCATCCTAAATATGAGACGGATATGGGGGCGCCCGGGCGCGTCCTCCATGTAGGACTGACGAAGGGGTCCCACGCGGACTCGCCCGAAAACCCAGCGGTCCGACGGATGCCTCCTCCGTCGCCGCGGTGAGAACGTCGCGTGGCGCCGCTCCGGGTCGCCGCCTGAGACCAAATCCGCCTATTTAACCCAGCCGGCTTCCCGCAACCCTAGCACATCCACGTCCCCCCTCTTCGCGCCGCCAGTCCAAGCCCACCCACCTCGTCCCTCTCCCGCTCCGGCGCTCCGCCATCGTCCGGAGGAAGATCACCTACTACGAAATGCTCACGCCGAAGCGCCGGTACGAGATCGAGCAGGAAATCCGGGCAATACAAGCCGTGCGCGTCGCCCGCATCACTGTCGGGTTGCTTCCGGACACGCGGAGGAGGAGGAGCCGGGGGAGGAGGAGGGAGAGGAGTTAGCTCCGATGGAGGTGGAGGAGGAGGGAGAGGAGCTAGCTCCGATGGAGGTGGAGGAGGTGGAGCAGCCGCAGCAGGAGTTGCCGGGCTTCAACATGGAGCAGGCGGAGGCGGAGTTCGTCGCCGCCCAATCGGAGGAGATGGCGGAGCAGCAGGCCATCCTGGAGTCCATTCAGGATGAGATGTGGAGGCCAACCGGACATTCCTTCGGCGGGAGCAGGCGGTGTCCGACGCGCTCTTCGCCGAATTCGACGCAGAGATAGAGGACGAGGAAGCCGGAGCGGAGCAGCTGGAGGCGCCGAAAGAGCCGGAGCTACAGCTGCCGTCCATGTTGCCGGAGCTGGGCATGGAGATTGTTGACATCTCCGACGAGGAGTAGCTAGGTGATCAACGTAGTACATCTGTTTATTTCGTTTGCATGTTTTTATATAAATTTAAGAATCTACTAGTATAAGATGTCCGGATGCAACTCGTGAAATTTGAGACGTATCTGCCTGGACGTTTGAGGGTCATATTGGACATATCCAGCTGCAGATGCTCTTATGTTCCGCTGTGGGTGGGGTTTTACGGATTTTGTTGTTGTACGTCCGGCCTCGATTGAGTTCCCGCACAAGCGCCAACATGGACGTGCTGCTGCTCGGTGCGTCTGCGTACGTACTCGACCAAGATCGCGATGCCTCCACCGCCGATCGATCGATGATGCAGCGCAGCAGCGTCCGTCCGTTGGAAGCTCACAGAACCGAGTGGTCACCGCGCTGGTCGGCTGCTGTCCCCGCCCTGCCGTGCCCGTGCAGGAGTTGAATTGTCGAGACTCGAGAGCTTGAAAGAGATCGTACGCACTCCTACATGATTTGCATGGGATGAGGTGAGATAGATCCCTGTGTATGGCCCAAACAGGACCTGAGCAGAGCATAGATCCACCCCACCCATGCATCATACTCACGCACGGATCAGAGTAAATGGCCATCACAGGACAGGGCCCGCGCAGCAACGGGACGCGGGATTTAATCCTCCTCCGATCCAGGACCCGTGGATGGATGGATGAGCCAAGGACATCATCATCATCACTCACAGTCTCACACCCAGCATCTACTTCTCTTCCGGACTCTCGACCGTACGAGGCTGCACATGCTCATCAGCCTCTCCTCCGCTCTACTGCCCCACGCTGCTGATGATGAAGAGCTCGATCAGCGCAAGAGGATCATCAAATCGATCTCCGTAGCAGGCAAGACAAGATCTTGGTACCAATTACTGAGAATCCTGTCACTTAATCTTAGTACGGGGTAAAAGTAGGGACGCCACTGCTCATCTCATCATCCGGCTGTCTGATCGTTGGATCGGATCATGGACACCATCATCACTGCGTAGGGCCTGTTATGGTGGTGGTACAAGCAAGATTCAGACTTTCAGAGTTTCAGGCATAGGATGCAACAGAGATAAGTACATGTAGCAGTGAGGCTGGGATAGATAGGTACTGCAAAATATATAATTTGATCTCACCAAACTACTACACACATGTCCATATTAACCTGATTATCACATCAACTTTTTCCACCTTTGGACCAACATGAAAACACACACTATCCAAACCCACTGCCTACACACAGAGACACACTTCTAGGCCTGCTCTACCAGTCAACCAACCCTAACAATCCACCAGAGGTCAAATATTGCAGCAAGAACAACCAACCCAGCCAACCCATACACACTTCTTTGGCCACAAAAATCGTCTAGACGCCTAAAGCTAGCACGGCGGTAATATGAACGAGCTTCGTCAGCCTCTCGTTCTTGTGATGGTGATGCTGCCTTTCCCCCCTTCGGTGTGGATCTTTGTCTTGTGGACCACCGGCTTCCCGGAGATGGCCGAGGCCTCCTGGTACGGGGCGGACGCCTCGTCGATCTTGTGCTTGATCCTGTACGAGGGAGGAGCGAGGATCTTCCGGTTTATGTCCCTCAGGGTGGTGTCGCCGCGGAACCCGCACGGCTTGATGAGCTCGAATGGGTAGGCCACCGATGCCACTTTCAGCTTCTTTGCTCTGATGACGCTTCTTCCAGCTGCGAATCAATCACAAGAACCATGTATGAGCGACTTGCACAAAGTATGCAGCACTGTGCAATTAGAGAACTGTGTGAAACATAGCTGAACTAATGGGTGCTCTGATCAGACAGTCATGGACTCAGGAAGCAAACCTTTCAGAGGTGTAGGTTTAGCTTGCGGAGGTTTCTTCTCAACTTTCGTGATAGGCTGCTCCTCAAGCTCGATTAACGAATTCTGAAGAGCTGAAACAAAAGAGTTCTAGCATCAGTAGCTTTACAATTGAGAAAACAAGTAATGATTTGTATCCTAGGACCATTATACTAACCAGAGATATTGGCTTCCACAGCAGCACTAGGGCTTTTCCTGTCAATAAGGACCAGAAATCATGGTGAGAAACAAGAAATACTTGAGAGATGGCAGCTATCAGAAATACTGTCAAGCCAAGCACAAGGTGGACCTCGGTAAAAAACATACACTTCTTCCGGCGGCGAACGATTCTCACTGTCTTGTGAGCAATCAACCAGCCATTGTTCAGGTATTTCCTCTGTCCCATCACACTGTAACAAATGCTCGTCACCTGCAATCAGCTCTAGGATTAGGATAAATGGAGGAGAATCAACTCAGTGTAACACTTTGCAGAGATGATGGAAGACCTACTAGAGAAATCCAAATCCACTTGCAGATTTTCCAAGAGCCCATCCGTCAGAGAACAACAATCCATCTACATACAAACCAGTACACATTGATGGGAGTTAAATCACCATTGTAATGAATGTAAACATCAACTGGACACAGATTGTTGAAATAAAAATGTATTAAGTCCATAGGTAACTTCATTGCAAGTACCTCAGCATTGTCTGGACAGAACTGCAGCATACGCCTTCGTTTAGCTTGTAAGGTTTCCTTTCCTTCATCAAAGTCCTTGATAATAATATCTGCATTGTACTTGCATAAGGTCACTAAACTTGAAGTGCATTCTCAGTATACAATAAAAATTGGGATAGCAATTTCCTTTCATCTCTTATTTGTTCTGGCAAGAGGGATCAGGAATTACATGTAAAATCCATTGTTATGACTTCTGGTTAAAGGTTAAATCGTAGTTCAGTTGCATTCTAGACAGTTGTAAGTGGTGGTTCAAATCAAACTTATTTGAGTGCTACTGCACAAAACAAGTTTCACTACTGCTAACAGCCATATGACTATAATATATCTACTGATCTGCTTGCATATAAAATGCAACCAAAGACGTGTTTCCAGATACTTTATCATGAAATAGGAAGTTATAATCAACTACGTAGATGGCACTGGCACTCATATAAACAATGAACATTTCAAACAAAAACAGCAGCTCAACTCACATACAGGTAGTAAAACATACTAGTGACTTCACACTAGATGCTTAGACATGCTTCCCTAGTGTCAAAAATGTTCTTATATGATGGGACGGAGGGAGTACGTTAGTGGCTAGAGGTAACCACGGTATGTTAGTTCAGTATGTTAGTGATCAGAGGTAACAATGGCATGTAAATAAAAGAACATTTTTTTTACCTCCTATATCACAGAAGGGTAAATCTATGTCTGTACATTCTTTAATTGGGGTTTGCTCATCGAACAGGCTCCAAGAATCAACCTCACTGTGGTTTGCTTCAGCCCACAGGGAGGTAGATGGAACTGCGAAATCAGATGAATAATTCTCATCAGTTAACTGGATGCAGTTTTAGGACAGTAGGAATGATGCAAGAGCGTGCTGCAAACCTGGTAACAGATCCTTCTGCAAATCGAACTCTTGACTCTGCCAGTCCCACATCTCACTGCATAAAGTTCAACATCGAAGAGCATTGTTAGAGATGAGCATTCAGATTTCAACAATTGCTGAAAATCTTACAAAAAAAACGAGTAAACTGCAGAGTGTACATCTTGAACATTCCAATGTTTTCCCGCAGGAAAATGTAAAAATCCCCAAGTTCATCTGAATAGATGGTGAAAAATTCAACTAGTGTACTAGCACATTTCAATGTTTTCCTTTTCCTCCGAGATACCATAATGTTCAGGAACCTAAGACTGCTGTATCAAGCGCAAACAATTTGCAGAAAAAAAAATCTAACAGCGCAATGGTAACTCGCAGTAAAAAGAAGGAAACCTTTGAGGATTAGGAAAGATGAAGCATTCACATGAAAGAAACAGCCTGGCATGGGCCAACGCGCAAAGAAACAGAGGCAGGGGAAATTGAAGGACGCCATGAACAGCAGCTAGCTAGGGTTTAACAGCAAAAGACAACCCCAACACACACACACACACACACACACACACACACACGGCCATCCCTAACCGCAACCAACCACAGTACGGCACAAAAGAGGAAATTAAAAGCCTCCGTCAAAAGAAGGCATGATCCTTTATTTCTCTCCCAGAATTGGAAGTCTTTTCCCCTGCTTCCCCAAACATCACGCGAGGACGAAAAGATCAAGAGGATGATGAGGACGGAAAAGGGCGGTACTAGCTGGTAACTCGCGCCAGCGCCGCACACAACCAACCGAGAAGCAACCGCCGTACCGAGAAAGCGAAATTAGGGCGGCTCAATCAGTCAAAGAGGACAGGATTAAGGCCGGAAGAAGAAACAAATCGCGCGACCCAACAAAAAAACACCCGCTTTTTTTCCCGACCGCGCCGTCGCGCCTTACGGTGGTTGGGGAGGATCAAGAAGCCGGACGGAGGAGGAGGAGGTGGACGGAGACGCACCTCTGATCGCCAATGCCGCCGTCGAAGCCCATCATCCCCCGCGGCGGGGCGGATCCGAGGCCGGCCGGCGCCGCCTGACCGGACGGCGGAAGGGAAAGGCGGGGGAGGGAAGAAAGGGAGGGATGCGGAGTGGGGAGCGGGTGGAGGAAGGAACTGGGGACTGGAGAGTGGGCGCAGTGGTGGTGGTGGTGGTGGTGGTGGGAACAGTTTATCCCTCTCACAGTCACCGCTCCCTCGTGCTTCTCTCTACGCCCAAAGGGAAGGAGGGAAGGGCCCCCGAGAAAACAAAGCTTGCGCCTTTATTGCTGCCCCTCCTCCAACGTGACCGCTCAAGGGGGCGCGGAGGCCGAGGACTGAGAAGACGATGATTATCCTATGATTAATTGGGCCATTTGGGCGACCGCCACGGATCAGTGGCGAGTACTGATTAATTAATCATTAATCATTAATCATTAATCATTAATCATCAATCAATCAGTCAGGGCTGCCCGGCCCCGGAGGCTTGTGGCGGAAGGAAGGGAAGGGGGCGAGGCGAGGAGAAAGAAACCGTGCGGCGCACACGTTGTACTCCGTGGCGGCGGTACCGCGGCGGAACCGGTGGCATGTGTGCGCCGTGCCTCGGCCGACGGCGGTGCCCGGCTGCGCCTGCTCCCGTGTTTTGCCCATTCTCACCGGCGACCTTTTTATTTGCGAATAAATTCTTCCAGTACTCAATGTTTAAATGTCACAATTTCGTTCCAAAAGTTTCATGATTTCATCTTCCAGAGCCTAGCCAAACCATAGTTCGGTGGTACACCCTATCAAAACTAGGCAAGGCATAATGACTCCTTGTTATGTGAACATTTCAAGTTTCATCTTAATATTTACTTTCTTGTGGACAGTACAAAAGGTATAAACTCGAACTTTTCGCCACAGCCCAAAAAAAGGTTTTAGCTCCTCACTCTAAGGATGGAAAAACAATTTAGGAATGATTCCTCCTCTGTCGGGCGATGTGGCACTCATGTCGGCCGCCTCGTGCGTGAACCATGTGTCTCTGTGTATCCCCACTAGCGCTCTTCTTGAGCAAACGTTCTTCCCCTTCACGCCGATGCTTCCTCGGTGTATATAGGTTGACTCGGCCAGACGATGTTGTGCTGGCGGTCGTTACTTTCCCGACGAAGCATCCTCGGCCAGATGATGTTGTGCTGGCGCCAGTTACCTTCCCGACGAAGCTTCCTCGTCGTCTCCTCGGCCAGACGATGTTGTGTTGGCGTCGGTTACCTACCCTACGAAGCTTCCTTGGCGCCTAACGCTCCCCTCGGTCAGACGATGTTGCGTTGGCGTCCATTACCTTTCCCGCGAAGCTTCCTTGGCGCCTAGCGCTTCCCTCTGACCAGACGAAGTATCACTGGCTTGTCTGTAGCACGGTTAAGGATTGGACCACTTGTTGCACCTTGCTACTTTTGTTACTTATTAGCAATTATCTTGCTATCAAACTATCTATCAAAACTATGTTATAACATTTGCAGAGAATATCTTACTGAAATCTGCCTATCAATTTCTTCGGCTTCTCGTTGGGTTCAACACTCTTACATATTGAAATGACTACCGTTGATCTCCTATACTTGTGGGTCATCACTGATCAAGTTTTCCTCAAGCTTCAACCTTATGTTTAGTCCAGTGTTTCTCATTGAGCAAACAATAAGCTTGATTTTAAGTACCATGAGCCTTATCAAATATTTCAAAGTAGGCACTATTGCTTATCGACTTGCTCTTCCAAGTGATAGTCGAATTCATCCGGTCTTTCACGTTTCTCAACTCAAGAAGGTCTTTGCTCATATGGTTCTGGTAGAATCTTCCTTGCCATCTTCAATTGCGTATCTTAAGTTCCCATTGCATGCATGTGTTGCAGCATCACGTTCATCAGTTGGGCAATCACACTATTCCTCAAGTGCTGGTGGAGTGGAGCCAAGGTGAGCCAGAATCATTTGGGAAGATCATGACTCGCCAAAGCAGCAATTTCTGCG